CTTTTATTCGTCATCTTCTTTTTAAAATGGTAACTTGATCAGTTTGGGGTGAAAAGGGGGCGAAACTGCCGGCGCAGCCAATTCAAAAATTGTTTTTAACTAAAAAAGTTAAAGGATTTATAACAGATTTACAAAAAAGTTTATTTAAATCATTTTTAATTTTTAAATACCCGTAGATTTTTTGTTAATTTTAGCAAAAATTCAAAAAAAAATAAAAAAAACTGGTATGAAACCCACCTAGGTTAATCTCTTACAATGAAACTATCTTAAAACCAGACAGGGTTTTAAGTGTTTAACTTAAGGCCCTTCACTACTTAAAAACAACTGTGTTTCCCAATCTTTACAATTAAAAGGGGGTTTTTTTCTGCAGCTCCTGATATAGTTGTCCGTCTTTCACCAAAAATGTCTTGTATCCAGATCGATAACATTATTGCATTTCAAAAATTAACAAAATTTCAGGATGAACCCCTTGGGGTCCCTCCAATTTTTAGGAAACAACAACTTACCCAGTGCAGGCATTTTCTTGTGCCGATCCAAGGGGCTACCTCTTTTGTCAGCTGGACATGCCGGCGTAGAAGCTGCTTTTTGCTGCTAAACCCATTGATCTGCCGGACGGGCTTGACAGCCACTTGACAAACCCAGATACTGGCCCGCAACACAATCTTCTGCAAGTAAGTCAGTTTAGTCAAGTATTTATAGTTGCAATTTTAAAGCCGCTGGCAACAGCTTAAGTTTTCGAAGTACCCTTTTAGGGAGGGTTTTCGCTTTTATTTAAAATATTGGATAATTTGAAAAGTGTGTGCGGGGGGTTTTTTCCATACAATAGTTGCTTTTCATCACGGGAATTCCTTTCGAGCACTGTGAGGGACCTCAAAAACGTATATAAATAAATTTAATTGTACAAATACAAACTTTGCTTGTTAAACGTCAGTATTTCCCTCTTAATTTTTTATTCGCCAAATTTTTGCTTTTTCTAAGTTTAACAAAAATCAGATGAACCCCGGGCCCCCCCTTTTTTTTTTGGGAAAACAACAACTTCCCGGGCGGGCCTTTGTGATGCCTGACCACGGCTCCCCCTTTTTGCCACTGGCACCCAAAGCAGGAGAAGCTGGTTTTTGCTGTTTCAGTCCTTTTCATCGGGGGGGACGGGGTTCACACCGTTGACTGCCCAAATACGGCCCGCAACACAACCTCAAGTAAGTGGGGTTTTGGGTCAAGTTTTTAAGAACTCAATTTTCCCCGGGGGGGAGAAGCAAAGTTTCGAAGTCCCCTTTTTTAGGGATGGTTCGCTTTTTTTTGAATATTGGAAAGGGTTCAAAGTGTGTGCGGGGGGTTCACATACAATAGTTGCTTTCATTTAAACAGGAATTTCCCTTTCGGCATCTGTATGGACCCAAAAACGTATAGAAAAACCCAATTTTGTAAAAAAATCAAACTTTGCTTGTTGACGCAGTTTTCAGTCTATGTTTATTCGCACACTTTATTGCTTTCAAATTAACATAATTCGGGAGAACCCCTTGGGCCCCTCCAATTTTTTTGGGAAACAAAAACACTCCATGTCAGCACTTTCTGTTTTTCCTATCCAAGGCACCCTTTGCAGCTGGACATGCCGGCAGAAAACGCGTTGCTGCAAAACCCCATTGACCCCGGACGGGCTTGCAGCCACTTGACGATCCAATATGCCCGCACACAATCTTCTGCAATATAGTCGATTTGGGCAGTAGGATAGTTTGCAAGTTTCAGCCGGGCAACATTAAATTCAAATCCCCTTTTTAGGAGGGTTCGCTTTTATTTGAATTTTGGGATAATGTCAAAGTGTGTGGGGGTGGTGTTTCACAACAATAGTTCATTTCTCACAAAAATTCCCTTTCGAGCACTGTGAGGGGACCTAAACGTATAGTAAACCAATATGAAAAAATACTAAACTTTTCTTTTTACGTCAGTATTTTCAGTCTAAAAAGTTTATCGCACACATTTCATTTCAAAATTTAACATAAATTTCGGGATAACCCCTTGGGCCCTCCCAATTTTTGGGAAACACAACTTACTCCTGTGCAGGCATTTCTTGGGGTTTCCTGACCGGGGGCTCCTTTTGCAGCGGGGACATGCCTGCGGGTAAAGCTGCTTTTTGGCTGCAAAACTCCATTGATCCCCGGGCAGCTTACACCACTTCTGATCCAATACTGGCCCGCAACACAATCTTCTGCAAGAAAGGTCGATTTTAGTCAAGTATTTAATTTGAAAGTTTCCAGCCCTGGCAACATTTTAAGATTCAAAAGTACCCTTTTTTTGGGGGGTTTTCGCTTTTATTTGAATATTGCAGAAATTCAAAGTGTGGCGGGGGGTTCACATACAATAGTTGCATTTCTTCACGGGAATTCCTTTCGAGCATCTGTGATGGGACCTCATAAACGTATAGTAATCCCAAAATTATTGTACAAATACAAACTTTTGCTTTTTTACGCAGTTTTTCTCTAGTTTTTTCCACACATTATTGATTTCTAAATTAACATAAATTTCAGGATAACCCCTTGGGTCCCTCCAATTTTGGGAAACAACAACTTACTCCAGTGCGGGGCATTTTTTTGGTCCTGATCCGGGGGGCTACCCTTTTCACGCATGCCGGCAGTAAAACTGCGTTGCTGCTAAACTCCATGATCGTGGACAGGCTTGACAGCCCTTGACTGACCCAGATACGCCCCAACACAATCTTCTGCAAGATATCGATTTTAGTCAAGAAATTTATAGTTAAAATTCACCCTGGAAAACACTTAAGATCGAAGCCCCTTTTTGGGGATGGCGCTTTTATTGGAATATTGCGATAAGTGTCAAAGTGGTCGGTGGGTCACAACAATATTTGCTTTTCATTCACAAAAATTCCTTTTCAGCACTTGATGGACCTCAAAACGTAAAATAATACCAATTATTGTACAAATA